TTGTATCAATACGTATTCATATTTTTAAGACAATATTTGACTGGATTTATCTCCATTCAAATGCGTATCTTTAGATTAAAATTAAAAGAATAGAAAAAGGAAAATTAGATTTGAGCATGTGTGTTATGTTGAGGATAATAATTGACTATTATAATAAACTGTGGTTAAAGCAGTTCTGGAAATAATTAATTAGTTTAATGGGACTAAAATGTATCCCTAACTATATATGATCAATTTTTCCTAATTGTAAATTATAATTGTAAAAATCGTACGTCATCAGATCAGAATATATATACCCTAAACACGAATAATTAACATCATGCATGTCCTTTGGCACAAAAAAACATTGTGCATGTCCACAAGCACGTGCATTCTAATAAAATCAACATTAATCTGCCGATGATGGTAATTTATTTATATCATAAACAATGAGATTTACCTATTCCAAATATGTATAAATTAAATATACATAAAAAAAAACCTCTATCGGGAGGGGAAAAAAATAGTAAGATATCATTTCAATGAGGTCAACGGTTCCAACACTACCAGCAACGAAAAAAATCTAGTTGGTAAAACTACTTTAATTAGACTAAAAAATATTGAAATTTAGCCGAATATATAAATAAAAATAAAAAATGGAAAAGGAGAGAAACATAAAGCCCAAAAAGGTGATGAACCACACAAGATATGGACATGGTGGGTATGATTTGGCGTATGGGTAGAAATTAGGTATACATGGCCATGTGAACACACACACATACACACATGTTCACATACCATAAATTAAATGCTGTGTTTAAGCAAAGCAACATGTTCATTGGGCTATGCTACGCCCAAACCTGCAATGAGAAAACAAACAAAACAACAAATTAAAAGACGTGCTTAGCAGGGGATGAAGATTGCAACAACACATATGCGTTTGTTGGTCCTTGAGCTTTGTCGCTTCATCATTTGTTTTGGCTCATTCATTATTTTGGAGACAAACTCTTTAGTTTCTCCTCCAACAAACCACCCATGAGTGAAAATGTATTAATGTTGCAGTACAATTACTTCCTCTTGCCCTATTTATAAAATATAGAAAGAGAATATATATGATTTTTTAATCCTACTTATAATTTAAGTTATTGATTTTTTTACTCCAAGTTTCTTTTTTTCATATCAATTAAATGTCGATGGGAGAAACTTTATATATTCCCTTCAAAAAATGTAAGGTATTTTTAATCGAATCACATCCATCAATAAAGTAATTACCTACTTTCTAGCTAACTTTATCTTTTCATATTTACCCCTATTAAACACCCTACAATAAATATAAAGTCATTATCAATAAGAATACTTTTGATAAAAAAGGTAATAATTACACCTCGAAAGATTAAAAATGCCTTACATTTTTTAACGTTCAACTCTTAAAAAATACCTTATACTTTTAAATGAAAGGAGTATTAAATAAAGTTGAATAATAATTAGTTATGATTATCCAATGCAATTGTAAATATGGCTAAAAAATCTAAGGTGAATCATGATTAAACCATAAATATATGAGATATATTTAACCATAGTTATATGACGTACAATAAGATTGAATAATAAATGCTCCTTCTAATTTAAAATATAAGCATTTTCTCTCAACTATTTTTGGTTCAAATTTTAAGCAACCTAATACAAGTGAAAATTTTTCTTCCATTTTACCCTTTGTATTTAATTATTAACATAGATTTTTATGTAAATTTATCTCTTATTCATCAAAAAGTGTATTAATAATTGGGATTAAAGATAAAAAGAAAAAAAAATATATATATATATATATTTTATAAAAATGAGGGCTTTATTGATGTGCGTATTTTTTTAAAAAATTGTTTATATTGTGAACCAAAGGAAATACAACTTATCAATATGGTCTTTATAATATAACTAGTGTTTGAGGGGCTGACTTTAAACATAACTCTCTCTAGTTCAAAATATAAGCAGTTTTTAAGAAAAATTTACATACCAATAAAGTCATAATTCTTATAAAAACACATGTTATTTTTCTTTTTATATTTAGTCCAAATTATCAATGCACCTCACGATGAGTGAGAGACAACTTTTTACAAGAATCTAGTTTAATAAATACTCCATTTAATTTTTTTTATAAATTACTTTTAATATGTTTCACTAAAATCAAGAAAAACCTTAAACTTCATTAACTTTATCTTAAAATTTAACAAATGTTCACCTTTAGCTCTAATAAATATTCTTAAATTTTATTACTGATATTTTTATTCAAAACATTTAATAAAAGCAAAAATATAAAAAGAAGTATTGAAAATTGACAAGTACTCTATAAATAAAATTAAATTTTTTTCTTTCTACCTTATATAGGATCAGAAGAGTATAAAAAAAAATTTACATTTACTAAGTTGCTTATATTTTGAAATAAGATTAGTTTAAAAAAATATTTATATTTTGAAGTAGAGGGAGTGTTTAATTATTTTGAATCATGATGTTAAATAATCAAGTAAAATGCACCATTGAGGTATTTATCTTATATTTGAGAATTGTCATATCCAAATAGAGAGTATATCTTTTTTCAAAGAAAATTTTCTCATTTCATCATATTTGAATAATCCTTGACCTAATGATAGACACTTCCTTCGTCTTATTTTATAAGATATTTTTGAAGGTGAAATAATGTCCCAAAATAATATACACAATATTTTAAAAGAAACAAGGTTCCATTAATAATAATAATTATAATATTATCTCTCATCATTCTACTTTTTAAATAAATTTCATTTCCTCTCAATAGAAAATTAAAATTATAAATTATATTTAATGAACTCATTGGTATGTGTAATTTTATTCAAAAAATAATTTATAAATTGAGATGGAGAGGGGGAGTACTTTATAATTGGGATTTATAATTGGGAAAAAAAAAAGAGGGAGTTCATTTTTTGACCATTCCATTTTGTTCATTTACTCTATCCAGCCAAAAAAAAAAAAGTTGAAGAGAGATCAAATTGAAGAAGAAATTAAAAGGGCAGTCCAACAAAGGTATATCACTTTCAATATGATGAGTGTTAGAGGAGTGAAAAATTAATAATAATGGAAGTGTGTGGAACTATTTAATTAATTAGTGGTTGCGTAGGAAACACTGCTTAAGCACCCACCAAATTAATTAAAATTGAATTCCTCCAAATTTGACCTTTAATTAATTTCCCACACATATATTTCTCCCTCTCTTATTCATGTCCCCTGTCTTATCATCCCAAAACAATACAAACAAACTCATCTATGATATGTACGTTTATTTTGGCCTCATGATATATCTATTTTTTTTTTCGGCCAGATGATATATCTATTATTACTCCAACATTTTTGCGTGATGTGTTTCTTCGTCACTTTAATATTTGTTGTCTAACGGGGAATTAATAATATGAATACACGCATGGATATATAGGCTCGCATGTGAAAACCCTAGGTGGGGAATTATTAGCACCAAATGAATAATTCATATGCCCAAGTCTGGATAAGTTGAAAAGCTCAATCATGATCGATATGTGGCTCATCAAAAGTGGAATTAGTTTCAGACTAATCCAAAAGCAGACACTTTATCTAACAATACATGAATACAAGTGTTTTATTCATTAAAAAATTAATCCTTAATATGTGTTTTTGGGTGTGATTTAGTTTGTCGTGTAAGTATCCATATATCTTAATTTTTTTTTATATGCACAAAGTGACATGTGTATATGTGTTGCTCAAAAGCTTAAATTCTCTGCAATCACTGTAGTTTAAGACAGTTTAAGTATCATTCAAGTTTAATGAAAGATAATGGATTATACTCATCTCTAATATTGCATTGATAAAAGGAGCGTCAGAACCTATTTGGGAATTAATAAATTCTAAAAAAGTGATTAAATATAAAAAAGAAAAATACCACGTTGTCCATGAACACTTTTGAAAAAATAATAATAATAACCCGGTATTTGTTTGCCTTCTTCCAGGCTACTCTTGTAATTTTCTTCCTTTTTAATTTGACCGGATTTGAGCATTTCATATCTAATTGACAATAACTCTCCCAAAAATATTTTTAATATTTAACATTATTGTATTTAAGTCCATAATTTTCTCTATCAGGACCAGCTTTATTGATAACTACTTGTCTGCCAGTTGGATTATATACTCTATTCATTTATTGTCATTTTAAAATCTCGATAAATTATTAATTATTTTTTAATTATCTTACTTTAATTAATAAAAATAATGGGTAAAGAAAGTATTTTCATGGGAAATAAAATAAAAATAAGAGTGTTTTTGTCGTTGAATTTTTTAAAATATAAACTATTTGATAGTTTTCTTAATATTTATGCGTAATCTTGATTACTGCTAAATCTTTGTTATCTCATCGCAATTCAGGGATTACTTTATGTGGTGCGTATATATATAAATACATATGCAAGTAAGACCTTGCAAACCACTGTTGATAATCTCACAAAAAAACAAACTCCGCATATATAGATTTGACCCTAGCATAACCTTATTATTCCAATTTGATACTAATTAGGACCTATCAATATTAATCATTTAAGAAAACTAAATTCATGTTTTTTTTTTTTACCAAAGTTGATAAAAAAGACTATCTTTATTTTAAATAAGATGTAAAGTCAATAAGTAATTCAAAATTAGGAAGCTGAATTAAGAGAAAATGCAGCCACTTACACCTACCTCACATGATTATATTCACACGTGGCATCTCTCTATTACTTAATTAGCAAGTATTAATTATGAAGTCAAAATGATAATAATGGGTCATAAAGGAAAACTTCCTCAAACAGCACATATTGGCTAAGAAATCACTCGCAATCACAGATCACACAATAAACATTTAAATAATACGACGCTTAGCTGGCAATCCAATCATCAACGACCAAAAATCCTCTGGCCAAAAAAAGTTATTGCTGATGTGGACGACACCATTTCACAATCCACCTCCTTAAAGGCCCAATGATTTGCCTTCTTCTTCTTGCCAAAACTCTCTCTCTCTCTAGAAATTGTGTTCCCTGTTCTCCTCTGTTCATATGTAGTGGGGTGTTTCTGTTGAGGACAAACAAAAAGCAATCTCTTTGTTTGCTTATATAAAGATTTGGGTTTCTTCAAAGCTATCACCTTTGGGAAAAAAAATATCTTTTGTTCTTTTTGGGAGATAGGAGGATTCGAAAGGGCTTTGTCTCGGATTGAAGCTTTTGTCTGAAATGGTTTCCATGTCTGAGATTTTGTTTGCTGAGCTGGAAAAACTTGAGGAGGGAGAGTGGGAGAAGGAGAGATAAGAAGAGAAGAAGGAATACCCAGAAAGCAGAAACAGGAAAAAGATAAGCAAAGGGATTTTCACTTATTTTGATCTTCTGCTTCTGGTAATTTTCATCATATTTATTATTTAGTTTAGTTTTCATGACTTTTTTCCTTCTGATTTCTCATCTCTTCGTGATTGTTCGTTTTCTGCAATATCCCATGTTTTTCCCTCAATAAAGTTACATTCTTTTCCAGTACCCTGAAACATTCTTAGTTCTAAATTCATGTGGAGGAACAAATTGCTTGGAAGCCGCAAAAATGTTGCCTCAATCATGTGATATATTCAATATTGAGGGTATTGCTCACTTTAAAACCATGTTCTTCTTGAAATTCTTTTTTCTCAGCTACCAAATAACAAAAAAAAGCTCTTTTCGATTATCAGAAAGATCATTTCCTGCATCCCTCTCGCCATCTTTTTTTCTCGGCAACCAAACAGAAAAAAACTTAAGATTATCAACTTCTTAGATGTATGCTGTAGTCTTTGGACCAAATTTTCTGAAAGACCCCATCAAAAACATGAACTTGTCCCATTTTTATCTCAGAACCTGACAGGAAATATAGTTCCAAGAACTTGGGGCCTATTCATGAGCATCAAGATGTAAACTTTCTGCTATTTTGTACCTCACAGGGGTGGTTGGCAATGTCTGCTGCAACCATGATCGGCGATCCGATGGTGATATCAGCACCAGATACTCAACCTGGTGCTACGATTCTGGCTTCACAGATAGAAGTTGAATTTGCAATCTGTGTCTGTTGTGGGCTGACAGAAGAATGCACGCCAGCTTACATAGAGAGAATCAGAGAGCGCTATCATGGGAAATGGATTTGTGGGTTATGTGCTGAAGCTGTGAATGATGAGATTGTGAGGTCTGAAAGGCTTGTGAGTGCAGAAGAGGCAATGACAAAGCACATGAATTTCTGCAAAAAGTTCAAAACCTCAGAACCTCCTGCAAATCCAGCTATTCATTTGATTTCTGCTATGAGACAGATTCTTAAGAAAAGTTTGGATTCTCCTAGAGCTTTGAGGTCTTCCTCACCAGACTTAGACATTCATCATCATGGTCCTGGTTTTGCCAGCTCTGAGAGCTGCTTCTCCACTTTGTCTGGTTCATGAAAAAAAAAAAAGGATAATTGCAGATACCTCCTCTCATTTTCGAGACATTTGCAAATATCTCCCACAAAACTTTGGATAGCAGTAAATTAATCCCTCAACTATTACAATTTAACTCCTTATTCAAGTCTTCTACTATCATGGTTAATGAAGAGATGAAAAGGAGTTTAATTCCGGAGGCATGATAGTTGAAGGGATTTTTTTTTTTTTTTAAGTTGTGAAGTTGAAGAACATGTTTGTGAATGGATCAAAAATGGAAGGTGGGGGTATCTGCATTTTGCTGTACAAGAAAGGAAGGTATGGGATGGGAATAAAACAAGACGCTGCAAAGGGAAAATATGCATTTGATTGGTCCGAAATGCAAGCAAAATAATGGTAATCAAAGACATGGAAAGGTCAAGCTGAAGCTAGATGTTCATTTATATATCGCTTGTCCTGGTACAGAGCTTTTAATTCTGCTTGAACTATAATATTAAAAATTTCTTCATTGGCACCGGCTACCTTGTTTTCTGTACTAATTTGATCATGGAATAGAATAAACCTTGTGTTTAAGCAAACTGTGATTGAATTGGGTCAAAATTAGTGGTGATTTTTTGTACTAAACTAAATAAATATCAATAATTAAATTCTATAAGCCGGCATAAACCAATAATCATTGGTGAAATATTAGTTTGGCTGGTCTGTTTTTTTAACCCCTCAGTGCATTGAACTTTGCAGCAGCTTCTGGATTTTCTTTTAATTATCATTCAATCTCGCATTTCAAGGTGCCTACATGTCTTCTTCTGTTCAGCTTCAACCGAAGACAAGACAATAATAAGTTTCTCTAATGGCATGGAACCTTTGGTATATGCATATAGCAAATCTGCAAAATATAATACCTTGGTGGACTGTATCTTCCCACGCCATGTACGACAAACAATGAAGATCATCCCATATCTTTTAAAATTTCTTATTCGGATACTGCAGATAAAATTGGGATAAAATTCTAAAAACCTTTTTGGCTAGAGCTGATCAGTAAAGCATAGCCTAGTCTCCTCAAAATCTACATCATCAAGCTTGTAAACACATTGAAGCTAAATTATAAGGATGGTTGCAAGCGGTACAGAGAAGGGCCATCAAGAATGATTATATTCTATAACACAAAGGAAAAAATGATTGTGCTTGACAAATGTGAAGTGGGGGAAGACCTTTGCGTGTATGATTAGTTCAGAGGTTTTATATAGACACTGCTAGCACTACACATTAATCTAGATTCTGCGTAAGATTTGATTCCATATCTGATTTTGTACACTATACTGTGAATCTGAACCATTCAGATCAAATTTTAATCATACAAGTTAAACCTATACTTTCAGAGACTATTAAATTTTAATTGTTAAATTCAACATGCTGGTCCACAGCTATAGAGGTCTCTCTGCACATATGTCCTGTGAAAAGAGTTATGGCAGACAGAAATGGTATTTTGTAGCTGTACCAGAAAGAAAGTTGTGAAATGCATGAAAGTGTGTGGTGTGTGGTGGACCTTAGCTTCTGCAAACATGAGAGAAACGCTTAAAGGCTCTCACATACTGACATTAATGTCACTAAATTTTATTGCTTTTCCATGAACTTTGTGCCGCCGATTGTGAACCACCTTTCTACACTTTACTGATACGTTAAAATCAACACTTGCTACTGCAGGAATACTTGTACCTTTTGGGAGAACCGACCGACCAACAGGTGACTCATAACTCATAAGTCAAGCTTCATGTGTTTGAGGTTTTAACTTTAAGGAATGTTAGTTTGTCTCGTGTGATTCTCATGGCGTGTCCTGTATGTAATGCAGAAATGAGGTTCTTCAAGTATTTGACCAAAAAAGAAAAAAGGTTCTTCAAGTAATATTTTTATTTTTTATTAAAAATTAATGTTCAAATTATATAAAAACTAATTTTCAAATGATATTCTAGTTGGATGAGTTGCATGAATGTATAGTTCATATTTCTTCCACCTCTTCACCTTACCGTTTTGAAAATAAGTTATAAGATCTTCTAGGTTGGTCAATATGGGGGATTAGGGACTAATCAATCTTTCAGTAATTTACTCCCTCTGTTCTATTTATAAGGAGTGACTTATTTTCTTGAAGAGTGACTTATAAATTAAATAGGAGGCAGTAAGAAATACATCAAACATCCGCAAGGACCCTTCACATAGTTCTAGCAATGCAATATTATTTTTGGATGGATTATAATAATGAGTAATTGGGGCATTTTATTCGGTCCAAAATAATAGTCCGAAGCGATCTGACATCAACACAGAATTTTTAGGTTATTTATTCTTAGTCTTAGTTTGCATTTATAAAATTTTGTTTGATTGACAGAGTAGAAAATAAAAATAAGATAAAATAATGTTAATTCAAAATGTAAGCAATTTAGTACATGTAAAAAAAATTATTTTACCTTTTATATTTATTAATCTAGACATTTGTGTGAATATATCTTTCATCTATTATAAAGTGCATTGGTAATTAAAATTAGGGATAAAAAATAATATATATTTTTTTTGGGAATGAAGACTTTATTGATATGCAAATATTTCTCAAAAACTTCTTATATTTTAAATTGAAAGGAGTATATATACCAAAATATTTATATATTTTTTTATTCAATATCAAATTTTACATTTATACAACTCTAGGGGCATATAAAACCCTAAAATCTTTTTTAGTATAATATTTTTTAACTTTTAAAAATAGTACAATGATCCCCCTATCATTAACAAAAGTTAACTTTAATCATTAGTTGATTAAAAAAATATAAAAAATAATTTTAAAATTATGAAAAAATAAAAAATTACATATAAAGAGCCAAAATTATAGATAAGGAGCAAGAAATTATAAAAAATGATTAAGAAAACTTAGTTGATTTTTTTGTATACTTTTTGAGGTATTTTCTGCAATTTTTTGTCAACTAACTATCAAAATTGATATTTGTCAATAATATGAGTAATATTACATTATTTTCAAAAGTAGAAGGAGAATATTGCACCAAAAATGAATTAGGGGTCACAAATGTTCTTGGAACCATAGTTTAAGAACAAATTTTTCATTTAACCTTTTAATATTTAATGTTATATATGTCATCAAATTCATACCATTTTAATAACTATATATTTAAAAGTATATTTAATTTATTTTTTTTAATACAAAAAAGTTTAGGTAAGTTGCTTATCAAGAGCAGGACATACTTCCAACTCAAATAACACTTATAAATATACTTACAGATTGCTCACCAATAATAATCTCACATGGATGACAAGATTTAATCACATGATCATATGAATTATGGACCAAATCCTCATCAATTAATTCAACCATTGTTAGTTATGTTTGATTTACACGATGCAGTGCAAACGTTAATTCAGCTATAATACTGTGATGGGCCCTTCTTAGCTGTTGGGCTTGCCCCAATGCTAGTAAATACACAATATAGGAGTCCAAAGCACGCAAGCCCAATATATTTGAATTATGTGGCGTTTGAAGTAATTGATTTAAATTAGAAATTTTAGATTCAAAATCCTAGATTTAAAATTGGTTAAAGTATACATTTAGTTTTTTTAAATTTACACAATATTTTATTTTAGTTTTTTAAATTAAAATCTCACATTTAAAATTCATGTATTTAAAATATTTTATTTGGATAGTGTAATTAAACAAATTAAAGATAAAAAAGAGATGAGCTAATATTTGAAGCAAAACTAAAAAATTGGGATTGATAATCTTACCTTTGTTCTTCAATTGGTAAAGGATGAGAAAGAGAGAGGAGAGGAGATGTGAGTAATAAAGGCATTGAGAATTATAACATGAAGACAACAAGGGGATTGAAATAACTAAAATTTTAAATAATTAAAATATAAAAAATTTAAAATTACAATAAAATATAGATTTTGATTTCCATCAAATTCAAATTCACATACTTCTGACTATACATCCAAATAGAGGGTTTGATTTAAATTCAAATCACCATGTATTCAAATGATTGAAGATTTAAAAAAAATAAAATAAAATGTCCCTACCAGCAAAGAAAAAATTATGGTAGGCTCCGTGCTTTTTTTTTTTTTTTTCCTTTTCTTTGGTGCCAGAGTTGTTATTGGAGATAGGGCAAAGCTCAGGATCACTATCTTTAAGTATAGGCAGCATGATTATGATTCAAATGTAAAATATTGATGATATGGAGAATTGATGTTGGCTGGCGTCTCGATATGACGATCTTTGACCAAATATCCGACCATACCTCATGCAGGGCCAGGCGTGTTGCGTGAGAAATCAGGCCTCTTCTTGATCCTCTTTTTTTTTTTTTTTTCTGGAAAACAAAAGTTAAATAAATGACATGGCGTCGTCAGGTGACGGCCTTTATTCTCAAGAAACACAAATATCAGAAGTTGAGCTCCATGACAGACAACGCAGCCCCATACTATCATATTGTGGGGATCACGTGGGTCCCACCGTTGTGGAACTGAACCTTCGTGCTTGGTCCCACCGAATTCAACCAAAGATTCCCCACTCCCCTAGAGGCCAAACCCCCCGCCTCACCGTTACTTCCATCAACAATAACGTCATGACAATCAATTATCATTTCTTTCTTTAAAAATGTTTTTTTATTATTATTAGGAAAAATTGATAAAAAAAACCATGTTAGAGAAAAAATAATCTTAAGGACTAAATGTAATATTTTATTCATTAAACAACATATACAAATGATCAAAATACCTTTTTTTTAAACCAATGAAATTAAAAAAACAAAAACAAAGGCTACCAATTTAACACATGCACCCCAATACAAAGCCTTTGCATCCAAGCCAGAATCCTTACACCCCACGTTAGAATCCTTACGCCCAAAATTAGAAGTCTTGCACCCCATGCCAAAAGTTTTACACCCTACCCAAAAGTTTTGCACCCACAGCCAGAAGCCCTAAACCCAACTTAAAAGCCTTGCACTCTAATTCAAAAGTCTTGCACCTCCCAGCTAGAAGCCTTACACCCAACCCATAAGCCTTACACCTTAAGTCAGAAGCCTTACACCCCAAGGCTTCTGACTTCTGAATTGTGGTGCGAGGTTTTGGCTTGGATGAAAAGCTTTTAGGTTAAGGTGTAAGGCTTTTGGGCTTTGGGTTGGATGCAAGATCTCTGGTTTGAGGTGTAAGGCTTATAAGTTAGGTAGAAGGCTTGTGGGTTGCAGTGTAAGGCTTATGGGTTAGGTGCAAGGTTTCTGATTGGGGGTGCAAGGCTTCTGAATTGGTTGCACGGCTTCTAGCTGGGGGTGCAACGCTTCTAGGTTGGGTGCAAGGATTCTAGGTTAGGTGCAAGATTTTTGGCTGGGGGCATAAGGCTTTTGGGTTAGGTACAAGGCTTCTGATTGAGGGTGCAAGGCTTCTGATTGGGGGTGCAAGGCTTTTGAGTTAGGATGTGAGGTTTTTAACTTAAGGTGCAAGACTTATAAGTTAGGTGTCAAGTTTCTGGGTTAGGGTGTAAGGTTTCTGGCTAGTGGTGAAAAGCTTCTAGCTTAGGGTGTAAGGCTTCTTGCTTAGGTGTAAGGTTTTTGGGTTGGGTGCAAGGTTTCTAGGTTGAGTGTAAGACTTTTGACTAGGGGTGTAAGGCTTTTAGGTTTGGGTTCAAGGGTTCTAGCTTAGGGTATAAGAGTTTTAAGTTAGGTACAAGGGTTTTAGGTTGGGGGCAAGGCTTTTAGCTCGGGAGAAAGGGTTTTGGCTTAAGCGTAGGGCTTTTGGCTTAGGGTGCAAGAATTTTAGCTTGAACATAAGGGTTCTAGTTTGGGGTGCATATGTTGAACATGCAGCTTTTGTTTTTTTTTTTTGTTTTTTTTTGTTTTTTAAAGAGAGGGTTATTTTGATCATTTATATATATTGTTTAATGAATAAAATATTGTATTTGGTCCTTGAGGCTAATTTCTTTTCTAATAAGGTTTTTTTTACCAATTTTTTCTTATTATTATTCTATTATGATTGTCACCAATTGAATATTTTTCTTGTTTCTGACATTTTCAAATTTTCAATCCTCTACTCTGATCCTTACCCTTTTCAGTTTTCAACAAAGGAGTATGTTAGAGAAGTCCTTTAACTCAATTTAAACATCAAGAGCCAAACTTAGTTTTTAATTTTATAATTTTATTATGATAAATTTATAAGTTGTGTTTCAAATTTTAATAAAATAAATAAATTTATTTATTTGTTGATCACGTTAAAATTTAAAAAATAAGGTATAAATTTATCACAATAAAATTATAAAATTAAGAGTCAAACTTATAAATTCTTGAATTTTGACATTTATAATATAAGTTGAATTGATTAATCTTCTTGGGATCTCTATATCATTCTATCTTTTTAGTAATATGTTGGCTTTTTCACTTGTATGCTATAAACAATAAAATAAAATACCTAAATGCCATGGAAAATATTTACCAAAATATTATACCAAAAATCATTTAAATAAAAAAAGTTTATATTTGTGAAGAACACATTTAGGTGAAAAAAACAATTTTGCAATCAAATTTTTTTCTAAATGAAAAGTGAAATCGTTCACTTAGTAAATGAGTTTAGGTTTTTTTTTTTTTTACTAACAGAACATAGTATTTTCTATTCTACTTTCTCTTAGCCTATTCTACCAAAAGTAAAGTTGTGTCGTTTATAAATTTCTTGAGATAGACTGAGCAAGTGACTTGGTGGCCACTTGTCTACCCATCCACCAATTGAAAATGAAAATATATAAAAATAAGAGTTTTAAAATTTTAGTTAATCTTATTACATGCATCTAGCAATGGTAGCTTTGGTGACCGATATAGGGGAGATTTTTTATTTCTTTTATCTTAAAGAAAGGCATCTTGGTAGATGTGCATAAAAATTAACTTCATCTAAGGACCTTGTGAAATTTGTGAGACTTTAAAGTACTCTCTACGTTTTAAATTATAAAATATTTTAGAAAAGATTCAGTATTCCAAAATATAAGACACTTTGATGAAATAAGTTTTCATTAATGATATTTTTTTAATATAACCCTTCTCATATATTCTCCCTCTTGAATATTATTTTATCAATGAAGTATTGAATGAATAACATTTTTTAAATTAAAATTTTTTATCTTGAAAAAATAAAGTTTTAAAATATATCTAATAAGCTTTATTAATATGAAAAAATTTATTTAAAAATATCTTTTAATTTGAGGCAGATGGAGTATTTTATATCATTGGGTGGCATTTTGGAGTTATTTTTTCCAAAAAAATATTTCCATGCCGTGTACAATAGACAAAATCAATAAATCAATAAAATATTCCACGTGCATCGAGGAGGAATAAAATGATCCACGGGAATTGTGACATTTCATTTTATACAAACGCATGTGGTCTTCTTTTGGGCCAACTAGTACACACACATGTGGTCTGGGTGTACGCTAGATGGTAGACTTTCGGTATTTTGCGAAGTATAAATTATACACAATTTTTTTCTCAACCTTATATCGCTGTCTAAGTAATCCTTCTAAGTTTTACCCCTTTTTGTCAATTTGGGAGTGCACTTTGATGATACAAAATTACAAGTCACTGAAATTACTTCATCATTGAAACTAAAAAGCATAGATAATTCATTAATTATAAATTTAAATTAAAAAAATATTTGATGAAAGAAGAATAGTTTAAATTTTTGTTTTGTTTGTAGATGTGTTTTTGCTAGTGTTCAGACTTTATAAAAGAAATTAAAAAATATTTTAATTTTTCTCCTATTAAAAAGAAAAAAACACATTAAAAAACCAACAAAATATTAAATTGGAATTAAATTTTCCTCTCAATATTTTGTTAGAGGTAAGATTGAAAAATATTAATTAATAATTTCCTGTGTGACTTATATTACAAATTTTAAAAAAAATTGAAAGACATCTAACAATAAAGATCAAAGCTATAAGTCGTCAATTCATGTTTAAAAAATTAGAATATTTTTTCTCACTCACGCCCCTTGTCAAGTTTCATCATGGAAGGGAGAAATTAATGCATGTCCCAAAGAGAGATAGACTTTGGTAGAAAAGCCACATAACATGATATGTTTTTATTAAAGAAATTATGAATGACATAGTCCATTGCATACAAGAATTTTTTGAGTTTGGTGAAGTTAATTAAGCATAATTAAATTTACCATGTTGGGGAATTTTGTGGAAGACTAATTTAAAGTGTGCCAAGTTTGATGAATTAGAACCCATTTGGTTCAATGTCATTGCATATTTGTAATGGTAATCAGTATTGCATTACAATTAAGAGAGTGGTTAGTTTTGCAGATGGATTCATGATAATGACTATTACATATCATTATCAAAATGATGATAATACTCATTCATATCTCCTCTCATGAATCTTCATTGTACTCATCACCATATCTCAATTCCAAAATGATATTAAAATTGTATTATATTCCATTACATTGCATTGCATCATTTTAAAAAAGAAAGGAATTGAACCAAACAAGTAGTAAATGTTTCACCTAACCAAGATTGTGGAAAATATAAAAAGTTTTTGAAGCTTGTCTTATGTTATGAAAAGGAGGAAGTACTCCATCTACTCCCTATTATAGGAAACTTTTTAAAAGTATTTTTTAGTTTTTAATATAAGACACTTAATGTGGTATTAATTACATTTTTTCAATGTTATCCATATTTAAAATCATTAACTATGATAGAAAATGTAATGTAAATTTGAAAAAAATTATTTAAATAAATGTAAAATTGAAAGTTTGTTTTATTTTCAAACAACATTAATGATTTAATTACTCTTCCTAGTTCTAATAAGGTAATTATAGATGCTTTATAATAGGGATCAAAGGGAGTATATACTTAAGATTATGTAATTAGTATTTTTCAGTATAAGTCATTTTTAACATGTTTTATTAAAATAAAAAATCTTAAAATTTATTAGTTATATCTAAAAATTTAATAAGTTTTAAATTTTTTATCCCTATTAGTATATATCATTCCAATTTGTATGATAAGGCTCATCCAATTGCAGCACTTCTAGCTTATTATTTGCATAAATGTAAAAGTTTAAAATTATCTATTGTGAAATTTAGGGTCCATTTGTTTCAGCCTATTTTATAAAAAAATAAAAATTTATTTTATGAGTTTTCATTATGTTTGTTTAAACTTTAAAAATAATTAGAATTTTAAAAAACAAATTTTTAATTATTTTAAAAAGCTACTTTGAGTTTTTCCTAAAAATAATGTAATATAGCATATGAGAGAAAATATTTTAGAAAGACAAGATACATGAAATTATGATAAATTTTTAAAATAATTAAATAATAAAAATTTATATAAAAAATAAAAAAGATATGATAAAATTTAAAAATAATTAATTACTAATATTTTGATTATTGTAACCAAATATAAAATAATGTTTGCTTTTTATAAAATTTGTATAAAATAATTTTTTTTAATTTTAAACCAACAGATCTTTAAAGGACAATGGAAATTATTTATAAATAAAGTCACCAGCAATGTTAATGAAGTAATAAAAAAGTTCATTGATAAAAAATGGTTGGTATCAAATTTATTTGTGACATAAAAATAATTTTATTAACAATAAAATTAAAAAATATTTTATCTGAAAAAAATAAATAGATTATATGAACAAAAAGCTAACCTAAACCAGTTTTTATAATATCACTACAATATTTTTTTTGTATGAATATGTTATCTTTATGGTATAAAATGTAAATTCATATAAATAATACTTTTTTAATATTATTTCATAATTATTATTTATATTATTTCATTGTCAGAGTCTTTTTCTGTAATTCTCAAATTATAGAATCTTGTCATTTTATAAGCACGAATTTCTGGGGCAAGAATTGAAGATTTTGCCTGCATCTTCCCCGATTTATAGTGCAGGTACGTGACGATGAATGGCCAGCGGCCATACCTCCATAAAATCCGAAGAACCCATATATCAATGAGTACGTTGCTTCACCGAACACTCACTAAGTAACTACTGGGACACAAGCCCGACTCTCATGGCTGTTTCTCTTCGGTTTCTTTCTTTCTTCTTCTTCTTCTTCTTCCTTTCTCTTGTTTTTATCTCTGTTTCTTCACACTCATCGTCAGAGTTTCCACAAACCTTCATCATCCACGTTTCCAAATCATCAAAACCCAAACTTTACTCCTCCCATCGCGATTGGTACTCTTCCATCATCAAATCCCTCCATCCTTCCTCTCATCCCGCCAAGATCCTCTATACCTACGACGCCGCCGTTCACGGTTTTGCCGTCCGCCTTACCGCCTCTCAAGCGACTGAGCTCAGGAATGTCCCTGGCGTCCTCTCTGTTCTCCCGGATCAAATCCGCCATGTCCACACCACACATACCCCTGATTTCCTCGGTTTGAGCGATCGCTTTGGCTTGTGGCCAAACGCCGATTACGCCGATGATGTCGTGATCGGAGTTCTAGACACTGGGATTTGGCCGGAATTACGTAGTTTCTCAGATTTTGGACTCTCCCCTGTTCCGAGTACCTGGAAAGGGGTTTGTGAAACTGGCCGTGATTTCCCTGCTACGGGCTGTAATAGGAAGATTGTTGGTGCTAGAGTTTTCTATAAAGGATATGAAGCTTATTTGGAGAGACCTATCGACGAGTCCGTGGAATCCAAATCTCCGAGAGATACAGAAGGCCATGGGACTCATACTGCTTCAACAGCTGCTGGATCTGTGGTTGCTAATGCAAGTTTGTTTCACTACGCTCAAGGGGATGCTAGAGGAATGGCCACAAAAGCTCGGATTGCTGCGTATAAGATCTGTTGGAAACTGGGTTGTTTTGATTCTGATATCCTTGCTGCCATGGACCAAGCAATTGCTGACGGGGTCCATATTATCTCTCTTTCTGTGGGAGCCAATGGATATGCACCAGCATACGATCACGATTCTATAGCGATTGGAGCATTTGGTGCTGCTCAGCATGGTGTTCTTGTATCTTGTTCAGCTGGCAATTCTGGCCCTGGTCCATACACTTCTGTGAACATAGCTCCATGGATTTTGACAGTCGGTGCTTCTACTATTGACAGAGAGTTTCCGGCTGATGTGGTTCTAGGCAATGGTAAGATTCTTGGAGGGGTGTCTCTGTACTATGGTGATGAATTACCAGACTCCAAACTTCCATTGGTGTATGCTGCTGATTGTGGAAGTAGATATTGCTACATGGGTTCTCTTGATTACTCTAAAGTCCGAGGAAAAATTGTTGTTTGTGATAGGGGAGGTAATGCCAGGGTCGAGAAAGGAAGTGCAGTGAAGCTTGCAGGTGGGTTAGGAATGATTTTAGCTAACCTTGAAGACAGTGGAGAAGAGCTTCTTGCAGATGCACACCTTATAGCAGCAACTATGGTGGGTCAAATTGCTGGAGATCAAATCAAGGAGTACATCAGATGGAGTGATTATCCAACAGCAACAATAGTGTTCAGGGGGACTGTAATTGGGAATTCACCAGCTGCTCCTAAAGTTGCAGCCTTTTCTAGCCGTGGTCCAAGCTTTCTCACGCCTGAGATTCTTAAGCCAGATGTTATAGCTCCCGGTGTTAACATTTTGGCTGGGTGGACAGGAAGTGTGGGTCCTACAGATTTGGACATCGACCCAAGAAGAGTTGAGTTTAACATCATATCAGGTACCTCAATGGCTTGCCCTCATGCTAGTGGTATTGCAGCTTTGCTTAGGAACGCTTATCCTAAATGGTCACCTGCTGCTATAAAATCTGCTCTAATGACAACCGCTTATAATGTGGATAACTCTGGGAAGAACATTCAGGATCTTGGAAGTGGGAAAGAATCAACCCCATTCATTCATGGGGCTGGACATGTTGATCCCAATAGGGCTCTCAATCCTGGTTTGGTTTATGATTTGGATACAAATGACCATTTGGCTTTCCTATGCTCAATTGGGTATGATCGTCGTAGAATTTCGGTTTTCATTAGAAAGCCTGCTAGTTTAGACATTTGTGGAGGAAAACTATCTAGGACAGGAAGCTTGACTAGTCCTGGTGATTTGAACTACCCCTCTTTCTCGGTGGAGTTTAGTTTTGATAAGGACTTGGTGATCTATAAAAGAGTTGTTACCAACGTTGGTAGCTCCGAAGATGCTGTTTACAAAGTGAAAGTGAATGCTCCACCTGGTGTTGAAATCAGCGTCTCCCCCAGTGAGCTTGTATTCAGTGCTGAAAACAAGACACAGAGCTATGTGGTTACTTTTGGTAAAGTATCTGGTTATGCCAAGTCTGCTAGTTATGGTTCAATTGAGTGGAGTGATGGAAGCCACAATGTTAGAAGCCCCATTGCTGTGAGATGGACCAGTGGGTTGTCTTCATCCATATGAGTTGCTTTAGGGGGAGGTAAGGGGGAGCTGCATTTGGATGCGTCAAAGTACAAGTTTTCATGGACTTTGTAAAGTCTTTGAAATCTCTTCATTATCCTATTGTACAAAGTGCAATATCTTTATTGGGTGTTCTGTTCGATGCAAATCTCATCCACATCTGTGAAATAGACGTAGTACAAGGGTTTGCTAATAATGTATGGGATTGAAATAGTCATTGGCACTTGAAATGAGATTTGTACTAATTCTGGATTTAGATTGCTGTTAGATTTGCAGTTACCTCGACAAGAAAAAGCTTTATCCCAATAGTTGAGATCGATTACAGTTATCTATGACATTATTATCTTAAATGATCTAACAGCAATCAATTGTAGGTCTTATCGTACGGAGTTTGATTTCTGTTATTGTCACTTTGTTTATGTGCGTGTGCATCTGCAAAATGACCCGAAAAAATGAGGCGATAATTAGTTGAGGAAACTTTTATGGTACTATAGAAAACTGTAAGTTCACAAATGATTTGATATTTTTATTGGTGATACTGATTTATATATTCATGGAAGATTTTAACGTGCATCAAATAACCCAAATAAACACAAGGTGTGCTTGATTTCAAGAGGTTTTATTGATGTAAGAAGTTACAAGTTCAAGCAATAATATTTGATTGAAATTGAATGAATATCCTACTCCTACTCCTTTATGGACAGGAAAGTATATAACTCCAATACTCCATAAAAGATCAATGTTTCAGATGTTTGGTAATAAATGATTTATATTTTAATAATTTGTCTGTGGTCATTTATAGACAGCATGAAAAGACCTAGTAAAAGAATAAGATTATTGTTTGCCATCTTGTTTCACAAAATTGAAAATTCTCATCCATAGCTGTACTTTTGCACTTGTGATTTGGAGAGGTAGTTGTGAATTTCAGTGGATATTAAACCAGAACAAGGACCTATTCGGATCAGTATAAATTTTTTGTGGCATTACTTTAATGCTGCCGAGATAATTTACTAAACCTGAACTGAAAGAATGGAATTTGAGAGAAAAAGAAAACATTGAACAGGGCAACACAATATTAACTTGGAAGTTGTGTGTGTCACCATTTCCTGAAACGAACATTATTATTATTATTATTATTATTATTATTATTATTTTCACTTTCCTCTTTCTGCAAAACTATATATGTGCAGGAATGGAAAGTGTCCCGGTTTCACTTGTCCCTCCAATAAATAGATCTGTACCATAGAACATGAAAATTGAAAAAAGCAAAACGTGAGTTTGAAGGAAACTACGTACGAAACAGGAATCAAGAAAACGTGACACACATAAGTGGCTGTGCACAGAGAAAGCTTGTGTACCGTGTCTATTGAGCCATAGTTGGATCATGACCGTAAATTGTTTGCTTCAACCTCAAATCAATGGCAATATAAAAAATTATCCCATACACACTTGAAGTCATCGTATTGCACATTACGAATTGGAAGAAATGAGGCAAATGAAGATGAAAATAGCAGCATGGTTCAATTATTTGAACCAGAAGAGTATTACACGATTGCATTTCCTCTCCTTTCTGAAGTTGTGAAAGTTGAACATTATTGAAGGGGCAAATAGGGACGAGGTAGAGACAAGAGACAACTTGTATATCAGCATTATCGAAACTTTCAAGGGTTTGATGATTCAGAGACATCTCAAAATCCACAGCATGTCGGCTATGAGTTTGTGAAGCCATTGATTGCAGGGGCCATCAAAATCTGTCCCACACATTACACAATATATATCTATATGCAACTAGCCAGGAATTTTGTAAAACTTCTCATTCGCTCAGCGAGTCCTATAGAAGTGTTTCTCTTATTATTTTACGTGAATTAATTTTAGAAGATCCTATTCAGTGCAACTACATAAAGGAAGACTTGCAACGAAGCAGAAGCATTTGACTTTCAGGTAATTAGGCGTGGTCAACAGACACATACAGATATATCAACCAAAATATGGTTAGCATATATTGATAGAAGAACCAAAGAAACACAAAGTGATTCTAGTACCAGCCGTGTCAAAGACTGTTCTAATTGTTGGGAAGCTAGGAAGGGCTCTTGATCCTATTCGAGAAAGCAATGTTAGATTTCATTGTATAAGAAAACATATAAGGAAACAGACATCTTCATTTATACTCTTACAACAGAACAAATAGCTATAGTTCAACAACCCATCAGATTTCTAAATTTGATAAAATATCTCCATGAGCTTAAGACCACTCCCTACAACACGTGTGATTAAAGTACTAAAACAATTGCTATCCATTTTTTTTCCCAGCTAGCGTGAAGTTACAACCATTAAGTAATTCAATGATCTGGTCTCTTTGCAAATCATATTTTTCATTGATTCACAGATGATTTGCTCTAATCTAAAGTCATAATTAAGCATCTTCACTCAAAATCATTTCATAGAGAGAAGGGTTTTAGCAAAGGTATTAGATTCTCCGTATATCTTCTTGCTGAATCAGTCTCAAAAACTATTTTTTCTTTGGAAAAAAAAAGTGTTTATTATAAAGAAAGAGCCATGTTTACTTATGATAAATAACTGCATATAGAGAAATTCAGGGGGGTTACCTGAAAATATGGTAACTCTGAATAATGAAAGGTGTTTTGCTATAACAAAACTAAAAGTAGAATGAAGAAACATACAAAAGAAAGATACGTAGGAAGTTGATGAAGTTCACATGTTTGGAACCTCAAGCTGAAAAAGATAACAGAAGAGAAAGGAGAGAGTTTGTTGATAAAAAACAGCAGGAATCCTGGGGAGTCCCATGTGACAAGTTCTACAGAGGCGCATGTTTGATATTTCAGGGTAACCCTGAAACTATGGATCCCTCAAAATGACCCATCAACCACGTGGTCTGTACCCTCATTTACTCGTGTCTTTCCAAAACCCCCCCATACTGTTCATGTTTCGTAGGCTACCCCTCTTCCCCAAATATTCTTCCTATTTATGCACTCCACCAAATAATCTCAGTCTCACACTACGTCTCATCCATTCATTACTACTCTCTCATCATGCCTCCTGGTGATCCTGAATGTGGTGGTGGGGATCAGCAGCAGCAGAGCCGTCGGAGCACCGTCTGGCGTTGGCAGCCACAGCGTGGGTTCCTACTGAGGCGTCGGAGATTGCAGACGCAGAGGCTGGGGGGGAAGAAGCCACGGCGGAGGATGGCGGCGCTGGTGAATGTGTTTAGGAAGATGAAGATGAAGCTGAAGCTGAAGAACGCTTGCATGGTGAAGAAGGTGAAGGAGTGTTACAGGAACGTGATGAAGGACATGGCGGAAGCAGGAGGTAGCATTGAACAGTATAATCAGATGCTTTTGTTGGAAACCACTTTCGCTGTTCCTATTGGACTCACCTTCTCCGGCACCTACCCTTGTCGTTTTGGACCAGATCATCATCGTCAACCTAATAAAACTCTTTTTATGTAACCAAATCAAAGTTCTGATATACAGTTCCCTTCCCTTTATTGTGTGTTATAATGTCTTATTTATGAAGCCTGATCGCCCCTTTGGTTTCTCCTTCAAATTCAAGGTCTTGTATGTTGTGGTGCTGTTTGTTATAAATGAAACCATAGTTAAGGTTAATATATAGTTGCAATCATATATATATATATATATGTATGTATGTATGTATGAATGAACAAGATCAAGATATATTGTAATTGTACTTGTATGATCCCAATAGACCTATGTCTCTCTTGTCTCTAAATGCATTAATGACACTATCACTTTGGCCTCTCCCCCCCCCCCCCAAAAAAAAAAAATTATCGCATTCTCCATGGATTCCAACTTTATCAATGTTTTCAGATTAAATTATCAGATGGATCAGAAATGCAATACACTTTTCGAGGATTCTGATAATGAAAAACTAGTTCTTTCCACTAGCTAGACTTGATTGAACGGTGTTTTAAATGATATAATAAAAGCGGCTGCTTTTGCCATTTGAGAACTTTAAACAAATTAATTAGCGGATGCAAACAATCAAAGAACGCGATCTGCAACAAAGCTTAAGATATAATAAGATGTGATATGCATGTTCAGTAATTCACAGAGATTGCAGAGAATCCTGTTTACAATCAATCTGCTTGGCTTCACTACATTTATTGTCATTACTTGAATATATTAATTTGTCGTGGCAAAAAATAAATAAATAATTAATGCCGGTTTGATTGCTCAAAAGAATGGGAATGAAATAGAATAAGAAAATAAAAACAACAGGAAAATGATGAAAGTGGAGGCAAGAGATGGGTCCCCCCAAATTTGTCTATATATATGGCAGAATGACAATATTAATTTTATTTTAGTTATAGGGAGAATTACAGTTAGGTTTCACATAAGAGAATTAATTACTGTAAGGTCTATTGACAACTGAATTAAACTGCATTGTCAATGCAGTTTAATTCAGTTACAATGCAGTTTAGTTCAGTTGTCAATGGACCTTGTAGTAATTAATGGGTGTCAATACAGTTTAGTTCAATTGTCAATGGACCTTGCAGTAATTAATTCCCTTGTATAAGACTTTAACGTCATTCTCCCTTACTTATACGATATTTTACTATTTTTTATATTTATTTTTATCTGTTTTCCTTATTAAATATTAAAAATAATTTTTTTTATTAGAGATAGAGATAAAAACTTATTAAATTTTAAGATAAAATTAATGAAGTTTAAAATTTTTCTTAGTTCTAGTAAAATATATTGGAAGTGACTTGTAAATAAGACTAGAATGAGTATATAATTGGATTTTAGGGTAAATGTGTAAATTATCTAGCCACATACTATTTTTTCAGAAATATCTGATAACCTAAACTATCAGATGGTATGAAATAAACCATGAACTTTAAAAAATGAAACATATAGTAGCATGCCATTAACTTCAATGGATGGAAGTTATATGATCCACAATGACACGCTCCACTCCACGAGCATTCTACATCAGCATGTGTAAAGGTGCAAATTTAGATAGGGATTATTTTTTGAGGAGCATTAGGTAGCCTCTATTATAAAAAAAAAAGGACCATCCACCACCATTCCCTCAATTGTAACCAGATACCATTTATTTCATACTTATGAGGCCTATAAAGCATTAATCTTTCCAATCTTCTTGCATTCGTTCTCAATCTCAACTCAAGAAGAAAAGGTTCAAATAGTTCTTATCTAAAGACATTCATGAATACGACGCTAACAAAGTAGAAGAAATAATTCGTGGCTAAATTAAGCTAGAATCAAGCTTCTACTTCATTGGCATCGTTATTGTGAATGTCTTCAAATAAAAACTCTTTAAACCTCTTTTTCTCGAGTTGAGATTGAAAATGAAGGCAAGAAAATTATAGAGATTAATG